TTTCTTTTAAGAAAACATTTTACATAAATTTGTCTGTTATGGAATTAGCAAATACCTAATTCTCAGTATTTCATATGCTCCGGATTCTACAAATTATATTATAGAGTGTACCAAAAGTCAGGTCTCACAGCCAATTTATTATGTAAATTACATTAATGTTCAATTTAGTTGCCATTTTTTTAAAACATTTTATTTTTTTCCAATGCATAATCTTTTTAACATTCTTAAGTACAGTACATTTTTCTCTGGGGAAAAAGTATTAATAAATACATTGTATTGCACCTGGCCTATGGGATATGGCTTTTAGTACAATCTGTAAATTAAAGATATTAGTAATGGCATAAGTATGATTTGCGTTTCCTATAAATGCATACATTCTGTTTTAAACAAATTCTGTTTAGGTGCATTTTATTCTTGTTCTTACTTAACTACTGAGTATTGGCATTTATCTAAACATGCTAGAAAAAATGATACTACAATTTATCCAGATATACAAGGATAGATCAAAAGATTACAGCAAATACATTGAACATATATATGAAACTGCTGGGAGGGTAGTTTGAGGTGAGATATTATCAATATATTAATGTCATCCATTTACACAGTGACATCCTGGCCAAGCCCACTGGATCAGTTGACAGCCATCAATATCTGAACAACATAACAACATCAACTGTGGTAGTTATTCTTGACCCAATTACACTACCCCCTAAATTAGTGTGCAAATTCTAGGTTCTTTGGCTTCTGTACCCAGTTTCTGAACAGTTTATATTTACCTGGGAAGCCTTTAATGGAGCAACTCCAGAACATATCAAAGAAATACCATGTCAGAATTAAACCCATTCAATCCTATGATTAAGAAAGGAGGGTTTGTTGCAGCATCCTTCTGCTTGAACATCAGGCATTCTTAATATGCCCCTTATGTTATCAAATATCCCTCTCTAAGCACACCCAATAATATTTTATAAACAAGTTAAAGCAATTTTGCTCTACTGTCAGTTTTGTGCCTTACAACTACAGTAGCTGGCTTTAAGGATATTTTAAAGGATAAGGATGTCTATGATGAAGTTTATTAATGGCTTTTAACATTACTGTATTTTTCGGAGTATAAGACGCAGCAAGGTTTTGAAGAGGAAAAATTTTTTTTAAAAAGTTTTTGCACTCTGCAAACCTTCCAAAAACGGCCCACTTTTCACGAAACCGGGCCCGTTTTTTTTTTCCAAAACAAGGGCATGATAGCCTTTAGGAGGCTTGTAGAGTGCTCCGGAGGGGCGGGGTAGCAAAAACAAGCAAAAAAGGACTGTTTTTTGTGAAAACAGGCCTGTTTT